TGAGCTACTACATCCATAAATATAGGTCAAGTTCATCAAATTGTAGCAATTTACTCTTGTTTCCTTAATAAAAAAAAAAAATTTCTCTTCCTCTACTCAAGTTCTGATCATCAAGCCATTGAAGTTAGGTCAAATGGGTACCATCTTCAAGTTTGGGTATTCTTGGGTATTCAAGTTTGTGCGTCTGCCCTCACTTTGTATCAGCTGGACAATTCACTCTCAGCATGAGCCCTCCATGGCTGTGTCCTTGTCCATAGGCTCAGGAGTCCCTAGGTCTCACCATATTTCAGACTAAGCAGCCCTACCTCTTCTCTCTCTCATCTCCAAGTTGATGGGAGTCTATGGAACATGGCAAAACTCAGCCCATATCATCATTGCTGCCTTTCCCCCACTTCCACTCAGCAGTAGACCAATGTGGTCACCAGAAAGCTTACATGCCAGTTCTTGTGTTCCCTTTGAGTTTCAGTCTTGGAGGGGGGTTTGTCCTGAAGAAACTTGATTGCTTGTTTTGATGGCTCCCTGGTGAACAACTTGCCTGTTCTTGTAGTAGTCAGTCAGACTGTCATTTTTGTTTTTGATTTTTCCTGCTGGTCTTTCTTTCAAGAAGTATCTTTTGTTCCTCTAGCTGGTCCAAGTTGGTCTGCTTGTCCTTTCAAGTGGGCATATTCTACCTTAGAAGATTCTGGATGGGGCTCAGGGTTCCACCTAAGGTGCTATACATTATAAAGGCTCTGAAAGAAGCCAATTTAACTGGATAAGTACTAGAATTCCTTTTAGGTATTTTAATCAGTTATAGGCTGAAGACGAGATTACAAGCTTTCTGTAATCATGTTTCCTGAGATTCCTTTCTAGCCCACTAAAGTGTCTATTTTACAATAGCAGACAAGGGAAACCAATATTCATAAGCCAGTCAAGCATCTTAACATTACAAGCAATATATTTTTAATGCCAGATGTATCATGACATCCATTTTATAACATTTTGACCATCGCAACTTACACACAACTTATTTATTATTTGCAAAAAAATATGAATGTGTGAGTGTGAGAGACAGAAAAACATTCATGGATACAAATTTTACTCTTTCTTGTTGTGTGAATTACTATTTACATTACTCACTAGTCAAAAGATGCTTTCTGAGTTTTAGATAAACTAGAGTTTGACAATAGCTTCATTTTTAAATAAGAGAGCCTCTGATTTTGTATTCTGTCCTTCTAAATTCATTTCCATCACTATTGTTCAAGAAATAAAGGTAACTTCATCAAATCTTTAGGTCCCTGGATAGTGCAACAGTTTGTGGTGAATTACGAACCTAAAGGTTAGCAGTTCAAACATGCCCAGCAGCACTGCAGGAGAATAAACTGGTCATCTTCATCCTAAAGATTAGAGCCAAGAACACACCACAGAGCTTAGTTCTAATTTGTGACACATGGGGTCACCATGAGTTGGATTCAACTTGTCAGCATGGGATTTGGGTTCAATTTATCAGATTTTTAGTTAAATAACAGCATTCAGGTTTTAATGTTAACTTATTTTGTGTCAGGAAATTTAAGTGAAAATTTTAAAATAACTGTGATGGTTACAAGTATATTGTAGGTATTTCTTTTAAGGGATATACTTAACTTGGGCTATTTAAATTACCTGAGAATAATTATCTGTAGAATAAACATCGTACTTTGAACCACAGAATCACCGAACCCATCACTCTGCAAGAGAAACATGAGGCTTTCTGCTCCCAAAAAGATTTGAGGGTCAGAAACCCTACAAAGGGTCACTATGAGTCAGAACCGACATGACGGCACTTATGAATAGTAACCCACTACTCATCTGTCAGTTTGTCATACTATGGTGGCTTGTGAGTTGCTGTGATTCTGAAAGCTATGCCACTGGTATTTTAAATACCCGCAGGGTCACCCATGGTGGACAGGTTTCAGATGAGCTTCCAGATGAAGACAGACTAGGAAGAAAGAGTGACAAACTACTTCCGAATATTTAGTCACTGAAAACCTTATGAATAGCAGAAAAACACTGTCAGATACAGTACCAAAAAATTAGCCCCTCAGGTTGGAAGGCACTCAAAATGCGACTGGGGAAGAGCTACCTCCTCAAAGTAGAGTTCACCGGGTTAACGCAAATGGAGTAAAGCCTGTGGGAGAAAAGCCCATGGGACCTTCATTTGCTGATGGGGCGCAACTCAAAATGAAGAGAAACAGCTGTAAACATCCATTGAAAATTAACATGGAATATACGAAATCTGAATCTGGGAAAATTTGAAGGTGTCAAAAATGAAATGGACAACATAAACATTGATATCTTAGGCATTAGTGAGCTGAAATGGACTGGTATTGGCCATTTTGAATCTGACAAGCACATAGTTTACTATGCCGGGAATGACAAATTGAAGAGGAATGGTGTTACATTCATCGTCAAAAAGAACATATCCAGATCAGTCATGAGGTACAATGCCGTAT